AGTTTAACATTTTATTAAACAAAAAGCCAGGACATGACTATAAAAGCATATCATAAAAGTATATTACAAAGGGAAGATAAAACACTGGAAGACTTAATGAAATTTCTGATTCAATTATAACTTGCTTTAAGGTAACAGTGTGTTCAATAGCTTAACCTTTATTCTACAATCAATAATAATACTGAAACTGTACAAGCTAACTGTACATGTGTACATGTACAAATAGAGCGAGAACATCTCATTATAACATGATCAGGCAAGAGGTCAGAATACCATTGAGTGTGTTCTTGTTGCAGAAGGTTATATGGAGCAGGAGCCATTGTTGCAGTTATTGTTATTATTATTGTTAGGCTGAGGTCTTTAGAATGCTATCATTAACACTTTATAATAATTAAAAACAGAATCCTATGGATTAGTAATTAATGGTTGACACTATTTGACTTGAGGGCATAAAGAAACACCTAAATCACAAAGACCTTTTACTTCTCCCTCTCTCTCTCACACACACACACACACACAGTTTCACGGGGTCAGGTCTCATCCTTTACCCTCTTCTCATTACAAAGCAGCCACTACTGCTCGAACCAGCTCACCACTACAGCTAACACATTGCCATTATTATTATAATCTTACCCTGTACACGAGTGTCCCTGCTTCCCTTCGCTTCAGATACCCATCCACCAGGATTTGATCTCTGCTAGCCACTTCTCCACGAGCTCCTCCACTAGACATGTTAACAATTATAGACTAGTCTCTCTCTCGCTGGCTCCTTTTGATGATCTATTCAACCAGAGTAGGCATGAACTGTGGAATGCATAATCGAATTGACAGCCACGCCTGCCCGTTCCCGCCAAATACCGCGGGAAAACAGAAGTACACTTAGTGCAGGGGTAGTGTCCCCAAGCCCATAGAAAGGTTTATGAAAGAAAATCCAATACTAACAATAGAGCTAGGCGCCAAAACAACAGCTGGACTTATGGCATGCTACCAAGAGTAGACTGAACTCATGATCACCTTGTCACCTCAGTTGCTTTTATAGAGTCTATATTATCATTATAATTATTATGTTTATGAATAAAAACAGTATAAAAAGCATTGCTCTCTCTCGCTCTCTCCATTATTGACTAAGGTTACAACTGTCAGTAAACAATGCTAGGTCTCCCACTCCTCCAGTGCTCAGTCCTAGTTTACCATTAGTAATGTCAGCAGTAGGATGAGGGGTGGACACTAGGAGGTGATGGAACTGTCTCTGTTGTCTTTGGAACTAGGAATTAATAAATCATCAGTTACTGTATTTAAGGAAGGGAATATTCATGTACATGTACATTATAATAGCTATGGACACCACTAGAGGTGACTGTCACTCACTGATAGTAACTGCTTCTTTAATAATCTCTTCTCTTCTTCTGCTGTTTTTCTAAAAGAGAGAGAGAGAGAGAGAGAGAGAGAGAGAGAGAAAGAATGGTGGCATGATTCATAAGAGTTGTACAGCAAAATGCATATACTATATTTCCATTGTATCACACTATGACTACTATTTATACCTCAACTGTTCCTTCTCATTGGTAAAGTTCCTCTCATTAGTTGATACTGTGTCTAGTAGTTTCTTAATTTCACTTGATAAACTTTCATTCTCTCTCTTGAACTAACAATCATCCAATAAAATTAATAATAACAATCATTATATAATAAGTTACTTTTTCTTTTTTCTTTTTATTTGATTTTAATTTCTCCTCAAATTCTTTACATTTTTGTGTTAATTCTTTCTTAGATTCTTCCCACGATATCCTCACATCAGTCAACTCAGACCTAATAATAACAATAATAATAATAATAATAATAGGGCCTTCCCTCTCCTTTCCCTTTATTATTATTATTATTATCATTTGTATTTTTATATAAGATATTTTTGTTGTTATAATAATAATAATAATAAAAATAAAAATAATAACAACAACTTTACAAAGTCCCTTAATTCTTACGTTAGTTTCTGCAGCTCCTTCTGGTTGCTATCAATGATCAGCTTAGCTTCAGTCTGCTGGTGGCTCAGTTGATGATGGAGTATCTGACACTTTTCCCTCTCTTCCTTCAACTGAGTCTCTACCTCACTTAACTCATTTTCAACTCTACACAACAACACATAATTATACATTAGTACATGTAGATCTACTACTGTCAGATCTAGAGGGAGTTTAGGAGACTTAATTTGGTCTCTCTGGGTGTCCTTCAGTCTCCCATTGTACATGTACAGTGTATAATTCTTGTCATTACTTTTCCTTTTCTTGTGTCAGTGATTGCTTGAGTTGTCTTAGTTCTTTCAGTTCTGATAATTCCTTCATAAATAATGAATATAATAATGATGATGATGATGATGTTACTTTGTCATTTTTTGATAATGTGATATTTTTTTCAGCTAATTCCTTCCTCAATACCTCACACTCGCCCTCCAATGAGACCTAATGTGCAGGAAATGTGGAGAATCCTCTGCTACTGTATAATCATTTCAGGTCATTTGTACCTTCTCTGCTTCAGTGGTCATTAGCTGATCTTGTAAGTTTGACAGTTTCACTTCAAACTCTTGAGTCTTCAACAAAAATGCACTAAACACATGAACAGTAATTAATGCAGTGCTATGATGCAACTTCACTCAGTGTACATCATTATAGGTATATGTACCTCTGTGTGTTTGTTAGTTGTTGTTCAGAGTCTCCTCTCTCCTTCTCTGCCTGTACTGCTCTCTCTAATTCATCTTGTCTCACTTTATCCTTTATCAGCATAACCTCCCTCGTCTTTATTATTATTATTATTATTATTATAAGTTGTAAGATGTATAGTAATTATACTTTATCATTTAAAGCTGATTCCAGTTGCTGTATGATCAGTGAGAGGTTCTCAGTCTGTGCTTTGTACTGATCCACTTCTTTCATGTACTTCACCTTCTCATTTTGAACTGACTGGACCTCCTTCAAATTACTATAACAACAAGAAATAAATAAATAAATTAATTAATTAATAAATACGAACAAGAGTATATTCACATACTTTAATAATAGTTCATCTTTCATCTTCTCCTGCTGGTGGATCACTTCATCACATTTCCTAATACAGAAAGATAAGGACATACACTCTACATATACATACAGTACCTCTGTGACATGAGGAGATCATTTTGTAGTTTAGTCAGTTCATCTGTTAGTCTTACTGATTCCCTCTGTGTCTCTTCATGATCTCTTTCTATTCTCTTAAGGTGAGCAGTTAGACTCAGTTTATCTGATGATAGCTGCTCAACTATTCCTTCATATTCCACTGACTTCTGCTTCAACACTGACACCTCCTACAGTACATCAATAAGAGTATTCAATCACATTGGGCCATGATTGGGGTCCACTCCACCATATAATGTGTCTCTGTCTGTGTGGTATATTTACTTGTATTTTGTTAGTCTGAGCATCAGTTAGTTTTAATTTGAGGGACTTGTTCTCCTCCAGCAGCTCCTTAACCTGTTCTTCCAGCTATAAGGAGGTAGAGAGGTTAATTCATCATGAGGTTGGTCATTACAGTGTTGTTTTGTCTCTGTAGTGTCCTAACTCGCTGTATTTCACTGGGTATGTCCCTCTCCAGTTTCAAACTGTACTCTCTCACTTTATCTCTTAACAGTGACAGCTGTGAGAGAACACATTTTTAATTACAATCATAAATGGAATACATTATACATTATAGTTACCTGACTGTGGTGTTCTTTAGCTATTTCCCTTGATCTTAGATCAGTGCTACTCTATTAGTAATAATAATGATGTGAATAAATAAACATTAGGTGTACATGTATAGGATTCCATTCTTAATGGTACATGTATAACTGTTACTTTGAGTGAAGTGTATTCTAATTTCATGAAGTCATAAGCTCTCTTTAACTGAACAATTTCACTATAGCAAACGTATTATAAATAAATAAACAAACAAACAAACAAACAAATAAATAAATAAGTGGTTATACTTACTCATTTCTAACTTCAACTTCCATTTCTAGTTCCTCAATGCGCTAAAGAGAAGGAATGCAGTTGATACAGGTAGCAGCATATGGAATTACATGTACATGTACATTACGTACTTTTCTGTAGGTCTCCTCCAGTTCTTCAGTTATCGTTTGTTGAAGTTTTGCCATTTTATGAGGATCCATTACCTGATAATGAAGATCAATAAGCATCATGATTTCACTTTTATCTCACTCACTCTTCTTTGAAGGTGTTCACACTCTGTAATCTTGTCGTCTCTCTCTTGCTGTAACTGTCTTATGATCTCCTCTGATTTGACCACTAGTTGAGTATAGTTCTTACTAGAAACTGCTTCTTCTTCTCTGGCCTTATCATACATCTGTACCAAAAAGAAACATCAAAAACAATTCCTGATGATTCCACCTGTTGCAGTCTGAGGTATTCTTTTTGTAAAGTTTCAAAGTTGTTCATGTGTTGCTCTAGCCTCTGGTTGTGGTCCTGTAGGAGAGTCCTCGCGAAGGATTGATCACTTGTTAGCGACTCCATTTTGTTGAATTTCACTTGTTCGTTGCCATGACTATCCGGATACTCATTAGTCAATCTCCGTATACTCAATACCCACGTGCTATTGTATTGGCTAAAAGAAGAGATGGCGAATGGTTCTCCTTCCTCGGGGCTTGATAGACTCCTCTCAGGAAGGAGCAGTGAGTTCAGATGGTACATACGCCGTTCTCACAAGCTTAAGGTCGCCACCAAACTCTCAGAGATGGTCACAGCAGCGCTGACCCTGGGGACAGACCCCACTCTGCTGGTAGACCTGCAGCCATTGCTCCAATGGATCTCTCCTCCAGTATGTGAGGACGCCATTAGTGAGACTCTACTAGGAGAGAGACTCACTCGTTTCGTGCTAGGAATCCGCTCCCTAGCCTGTGACCCTGTCTTCCTAATCCCTCCAGCCCATGGGTCCCAGCTAACTGACTTCAATCTCCTCCTGTCAGTTTTAAAAGACGATTATATTCACAAGCTCTCCATCTATTCTGATTACCGGAGATTCCGTTACACCAACGACTCCATTAACCCTTTAATCCACCGACAGATATTCCAGACACTTCTCTCTCTTGGTGTCACCGTTATCCAGTGTATTGATCATCCTCTGGTCGAGGTGTATCGGTTCTTTGAAAAGGGCGGAGTTTGTGGAATCCTCTCCGATAACCCTGACTTTGCGCTTCTTTCTGAAATTAGATTCATTGATTTGCTGGACTTTGATCTTGAGCGAGCGTTAAAGAGAGTCATTGTTCATGAGACTGAAGAGAAAGAAGCTGCCCTCATTAAAGTATATGAGGTCCATTACTTCTATACAACTCTTGAGGTGTTACTGGGGCAGCTGAATTTATCAGTAGAGCAGCTAATTGATGCAGCCCTTCTGTCTGGCAATGGATACACTTCACACCTCAACTCTCTTTATAAAATGGACTCCTACATTAACTTGAAGACTAGCAGCAGGAGCAAGGACAGGCAATTTGAAGATGTTTGCAGTTTTGTTCGTATTGCTGACTCATCACCTTTATTTGAGTTACATGAAGATCTTGTTCATGTGATGGATACCGTCCCGTGTTACAATGCAGCTGTATCTCGGTCAGTCTCTCTATATGTTAATACTGTAGGCTCCTCCCTCCCTCCTCCTGCTGGTAACTCAATGTTGTTCTGGGTAGTTAAGATGATTTCACTCAATAAGCTCTCAAATGTCATTCATTCATTAGTTCATTCAGGTAAACTGCTCTCTCTCTCTCTCAATTCTTTGTCTAAAGTTACATGCACATGTGGTTTAGTAGTAATCTTGACACTTATTTTTCTGCCAAAAGTGAACCGTGAGATTCTAATTAAACCACAAAATTATGCTGTACATGTACATGTACATGTATAATCAATTGTGCTTCTAACTACACGTGTACATGTATTTATTAGAAGTTAACATGTGTACACATGTAGATAAACTAAAATTAAGTTTCATTATGTGTATACTCCTAATGGTGTCATTCATTATATGCTATACACTAGGTGTCTACTGGAAGCCTCCATTATTTGAAAGCATTGCTGTCGGTCGAGTATCAATCCATGACCTCCTCCAGCCCGTGAGGCTCTCTCTCTACCGGCTCTTAGGATTGGACTCTGTGACCGAGTATGGGAGCACTTCCCAGAGAACCTTCCAAGAGACTAAAGTTAAAGTTCGTACGGACGAGAACCGAAGGGATCCTGATGACATCCTCCAGTTTATACTGGACCTGGGGGACAGGCCTGCTGTGGAAAGGGTAGGAGTCATGTTTAATCTTTTGATTAATGGAGCCTTAGAAGTAAAGAGAATCCAATTAAGTGAATCATTAATTAATCTAAAAGAGGAGACACTCCTCCATTATTCAGTTGTAGCGTTGTCTTTATATTTATACGGACGTCACGTGTCTCAGTCACCCGGTGAAGTGGATGGACTGGTAGAGTTCTCCCTAGCAGAGGCACTGGGTTTCAATGGTACTCTAATCACTGAGAGACCCAATGAGAGAGCACTGACGATATCTGTTTGGTTCTCACACACACTGGACACTCTTTGTCATTTTTGTGACATCCTTTCTCTCTCTGGCTCTCTCCCTGACCCTCTCTCTCTCTTCAAACCTTTAGCAGCTGCTCCTGTAATAGAGTCTCATTTAAACTCGCACTCTCCTAATTTCACTAACTGCTCTCTTAATGGCTCCTGCTCCCTCTCACTCCTTCCTTCTGTTAAGTTACTAAGATCTTCTTGCTCTACCTCCAGTAATGGCAGTCTCAGCTCAGTGTCCAGTCCTCTATATATTGTAGAGCTGTTTGTTCAAGCGTTGAATGAGGTACGGGAGTCAGGGCTTAAAAGTTGCTGCTCTTTAGACAGGAGGAGATGGAGAGAAGTGCAACAAACAGGAGATAAAAATGGTGTCTCTAAAGAAGCTCTTAACTCCAGAACAGCTCCTTGTTCATCAGATTCAAGGACAGCTGGTCCGTTATCTATTAATGAGCACCAGGACAGGATCATCAGTACTATATACAGTCACACTGTTACCTGTATCGTGGGGGAGGCTGGGTGTGGCAAGTCCAGTATGGTTCCTCAGTTTATTTTTGATGCTGTCCCCTCTTCTAATATTATCATTGCTCAGCCTCGTTGCATAGCAACCATGGGTCTCGCTAAGAGGGTATCGTCCCAGAGAGGTGAGGCCTGTGGGGGTGTGGTCGGGTATTGTGTGGGTGGACATAAAGTGGTTTCAAAAAGGACAGCCATCACCTATTGCACAGCTGGATACTTACTGAAGGTAATGAACTAATTATAATGATTAGTGTGTGTCTTAATGTACATCAGGAAATGTAATAAAATTTAAATTTTTCTCCTTTTCAATTTTGGCCTGAGGCCTTATACTGTAGTGCAGGGACTTTGGCCTGATTTTGAGCAACTTTAAAAATTTGTAAAATCTAAATTTGATCAGAACCAGCTCAAAGCTCATGTACTGTATCTGCATCAGATCATTACTATTACTCCTCTTTCTCTCTCTACAGAAGCTCTCCTACCATCCCCTTCAGATCAGGAAGTATTCTCACATTATTTTGGACGAGGTTCATGAGAGATCCATTGATGCTGACTTCATTTTGCTGCTGGTCCGTAAACTAGTCAAAGAACTGTCGCCATCAACTAAAATAGTCCTGATGTCAGCCACAATGCAGGGCCCCCTCTTCACTAATTACTTTAAGGAGGTTTTTGATAAAGTTTCAGAACCTATTTTTGTTGGCGCTAGATGCTGCAAAGTCGAAGAATACTTTGTCGATCAACTTCCTTGGCTTTTAGAGACCACACCCACTTCAGAACTGAGTAAAGAGCAGGTATTTTGCAGTCGAGCCATACAGCTGTACTGTCAAGATGTCAATCGCCTATCACTGACAAGAGACACCAATCCTCCAGTGATTAGTCCCCCTATGCAGATGCTTTGTTGTGAGCTTATCGTCTATTGTTCTGTTAAAGGTACAGCTATGCTGGTATTCCTGCCAGGGATTAATGAAATACTGGACTATCATGAGATATTGACACAAGAGCTTCAGAAGAGAAATATAGAGGAAGAGTACAATATCTATGTCCTTCACTCCCAGGTATCTATTGAAGAACAATACCAGATCCTCTCACCTCCACCTCCCAATAAAACTAATGTCATCCTTTCTACCAACATTGCCGAGAGCTCTCTCACAATCCCGGCTCTACGAGTCATTGTTAATTTTGGTATCTCCAAGGTTCCTTGTTACAATCACAAGCAGAAGATGACTTGTCTGGTTCGGTCCTGGTGCTCCAAGGCAGCCTGTGCTCAAAGGAGTGGGCGGGTGGGACGAGTGTCTGAAGGGATAGCAATACACTTGTTCCCTAGTTCATTCTACCATCATGTCCTCTCAGATTATAACCCAGCAGAAATGCACACCACTCCCCTTGGTAAGCTCCTCCTTCGGGCGAGACAGTTAGGAGAGGAGATTGGTGTAACTAGGCCCTCCATTCTATTGAAGCAGACTATAGAGCCTCCGTCATTGCTACAGATTGAGTATGCTTTACAAGAGCTAGTATCAATAGGGGCCATTGTGACTGATCTTAATTACGAACTATCAGAAGTAGCTGATATCACTATACTGGGTCAGTTCAGCCTCTCTCTCCCTCTAGACCTTGAACTCTCTCGGCTCGTGTTTCTCGGACTATACTTTGGGTGTCCAGTCGAAGCTGTTGTCATAGCAACAAGTATTTCGCTGTCCCATGATCCATTCCTAATGCCATCCAAAGTGTTCATAAAGTCCCAGGACTCATTCAAGGAGGCACTGGCAGAGAGTACGGCCTCTCGTTTTAAATACGATGATGATAGATACAGTGATGCACTAATGATCTGTTCTGTGTTCAAGGAATGGTGTAGTTATTATTATCATAAGTATTCCAGTAAAGGTTGGTCATACTGCAAGTCAATGTCACATTTCTCAGCTAAGAATTCACTCAGCTATTACCGCTTCTCCCTACTCCTGACACTGGTATCCTCAACTGCTGATAAATTACTTGATTCAATTCCAATTGGTTCGGATCACTACAAGTCGATTGATTCTGTAGCAAAGTTGACACGAGACCCTCCAAGAGATGAGATCTCATTCTGTGAGAATGACTCCATTGTCCTTGCTCTGGTTGTGGCCTCCTTTATAGACAGCGTCTTGATTGGTAAGAGAAGGATTGACAGTTTCCTCCAGCAGGAGAGAAAGGTGGCCAGACAAGCGAGAGACCTCATTGACTTCTCTCACATGAACCAAAAGGCATCGTTGGTCACGATGTGTTCAAAGAATGTCTCTCAGAACACGCTCAAGTCGACCGTTTCATCAATCCTACCACCACCTTGCTCCCTTGAATTCATGATATCCTCTGGAATGGGTGTGGTTCAAGTCAAGGCTCCACCCCCTAACATGACGATAGAGCAATCTTTGTTGTTTCTGTGGCAATTTTGTGAGAGACGCCATCGCTGGAAGACAGAAGAAGGGTCTGTCCCTCTCTCTGCTCCTTTCTCTCCTTTTGAAGTCTCATGGTTCAGGTTCAACTCATCCTATGATAAGGTGTTTACTCCGGTTTGGAGGAACCGCTCCAGTTTTGTTGTCAATTATTCAAAGTCTCCGCCTCCTTTTTTGGGCGTGGCCACTAACATTACCGGCGGGGAAGTTACAGGTACATGTAAAGGGCGTGGCCTCACTCTCCTCCCCTCACTTAGAGACAGTAAAATGGCAGCTATACTATTACTGGCATTCCAGTCATTCCAATCCTCCATTCAGCTCTGTACCAATGGGGAAGAGATCACTGCATTTAAGATTAATTCAGTTGAACTGGATTTTAAGGAATGGCAGAAGATCCTACCACAAGATCTTAAGATAATAAATAAACTTAGAACTGAACTCTCTATTCTTCTCTCAAAGACAGATCCTAGCCTTCAGCTTCCATTAAGAGAAATGAAACAGATTCAACATCTTTTATCAATCATAGCAGATATTGATTCATGTCCTACACTAACTGAAGACACTGTGATCCAGTCTGATTGCTTCACTGATGATTCTAACCATCAGCCATTCTATCCTCTCCTCAAGTGCTCACTGATTGACTGCTGTGAACCTAATAAAGACAATATTATTATTGTCAGTCGAAATATTGATGATGAGGAGAAGGAGGATGTCTGTAAAGAGAAGCTTGGCAGTTGTGATAAAGAAGGTGCAGTTGTAAGAGGAGGAGGAAGAGTACAGGTTCATAATGGAGGCATGGAAGTTAAAGAAAGGATTGATAGTAATAGAGAAATCAGAAAAGAAAAGATTGACACTAAAGGTGAAAATGACAAAGTTACTGTACAGTGCAAACCCAAGCCTCCTTCAATTGAAGGCGATAGAATAACAGCTAATGGAGGAACCACTCCTTTAACAGCTAATGGAGGAACCACTCTAGTAAGAGCTAATGGAGGAACCACTCCTTTAACAGCTAATGGAGGAACCACTCTAGTAAGAGCTAATGGAGGTACCCCTCTAGTAAGAGCTAATGGAGGAGCCACTCCTTTAACAGCTAATGGAGGAACCACTCTAGTAAGAGCTAATGGAGGTACCCCTCTAGTAAGAGCTAATGGAGGAACCACTCTGCTAACAGCTAATGGAGAAACCCCTCTACTAACAGCTAATGGAGGAGCCCCTCTACTAACAGCTAATGAAGGAACCCCTCTGCTAACAGCTAATGGAGGAACCCCTCTACAAACAGCTAATGGAGGAGCCCCTCTAGTAAGAGACTGTATTTCTGCTGATACTGTTCTGACTAGTAAATATCAGGACACTAGCTCTGGCAGCAGTAAAGTTGAGTCTTCTTTCTTGAATCCACAGGCTGTTAGCTTCAGTCCTGCTATGAATGTCCTTCCATCACATAGTCTCCTTCTCTCTATCTCTTCAAACTCACATGGGCCTCTTCTTCCTCCCCCTCCCCCTCCCCCTGGGTTACCCCCAGGGTTACGGCCACTAGCTCCAATTCATCACTTTCCTTTACCTCCTGGCTTCACTCCAGAAGACTGTGTTCCTAAGCCATTGCTTCTAAACTATGCACCTTTTAAAGCCAGTGAATCTGTTTCTTCATTGATTGAGAAGCAAGTCCTTGATATTTTATTAAGAAATGGCCACAGGGCCATTTACTATAATGATCTCCTTAGAGATGTCTCTTTGTCACGACTGCTCCAAACCCTCAGAATGAACCTGCCACTGCAGTTCTTAGTAGAAAGGTCTCAGTTATTTCGTGTGGTGTTGGTTGATAAAGGGTTTCTGGTGTCTGCAGTGGTGACATCATAGATTTATAATCTGCTCCTCCTGTATTGCTGTTAGTGATTTGAGTTGATTCATTTCTTTATGCTGCTATTATACCAATCACTTGTCCTATTAAGTACATATATAACCTTTTCATTTATCAATGCATTATCATCATATCATACTAATCCTCCATTATTATCTTATTAATAAACATTATTCAAATTCAATTATTACTCATACTCCTCTCTTTGCTGCCTAAAGTGGGTGGGTGTATGTGAAGACTGTTTTCCTGCTGTCCTTCTCTCCTTTTACTTTGTCTTTGTGACTCCTCCTCGCATGAGAAAGGTAGGAACAAGAGAAGAGATGGTTTTGTTGGTCTCTGGAGGTTTTTGAGTGTTTCCACACCTCTTCTTTGGAGTCATGATGTACCTTTATACTCTTTTAATAGAATTTGAAACTGCAGTACCTCCTCCAGCAATCGCACAGATACGCAGACCATGTTACTGACCAGGATATTCTTGGGCGGGTGTCGAGGAAGAGAGGCCTCAAGGATAAAGGTAAGCAGTATACATACCTCCTTGTACAGTGTCGCTGTAACTAAGTTCAGGCTTTTGGCACGGACTATTGGCTTAGGAAAAGGACTAGTTCAAATGTGTATGAGTGATATTGTGCGAGTATAGTGTATCATTAGTAGTTAGTTTTAGTTTGAAGAATGAGAAAGTGACATTGTTGGTTTGTTGCTGCTGCTGTGTTGCAGCACTGTTGCTAGGCAACAGGAAATTAATTAGATCTATGCTTCAATTTTTGCCAATAAAAATGCAATTATTATTATTACTATTATTATTATGGTTACTCCCAAATTCCACTTTAATATGCTTTGAAATGAATCCTAATATTATGCTCATACTTTAAGCTGTACTCAATATATCAACTAACCTTGTATCAAGTTACACTTTGTCATGTAGTATTAATGTAGAGTATGTGTTAAAGTTGTAACTGGGGGAGGTAGTATGTTTGCATATTTACAGTTTAGACGTGATCATTTCATCAAAATGTGCAGCATTTCATGATTCTCTTTCTCTCTCTCTCCATTATCTCTCACATGTAGCCACTAGTTAATGGATGCCGTCTATTATGTAATGTAAGAGCTACTGCACCTTTAACAATGGAAGCTCCTCCTCCTCCTCCAGCAGAGAAAAAACCGTTAGTATCTCCAGTCTCCTCTTTTAATGAGTGGGATCCGTTGGAAGAGGTCATAGTTGGACGAGTTGAAGGGGCTCATGTTCCTCCGTTTACTGTTGAAGTGAAGGCAAACACTTACGAGAAGTACTGGGACTTTTACACCAAGAACTCTGGGACACCCTTTCCACAGGAACACATGAGGAAAGCAGCTGCTGAAATTGAGGAACTGTGCCGTGTACTCGAGGGAGAAGGAGTTAAAGTTAGGAGACCAGACCTTCTTGATTACAGCCTTCAATACACCACTCCAGACTTCTCCTCCACTGGTATGTACTCTGCCATGCCGAGGGATATACTCATTGTCATTGGCACTGAGATCATAGAGGCCCCGATGGCCTGGAGGGCTAGGTTCTTTGAGTATCGGGCCTACCGGTCCTTAATGAAGGAGTATTTCCGTGCTGGAGCTAAGTGGACGACAGCTCCTAAGCCATTGATGAGTGATGAGCTGTACGACCAGGAGTACCCTATGAAGAGCGTACAGGACAGGCACAGGTTAGCAGCTGAGGGAAAGTTTGTGACGACAGAGTTTGAGCCGTGCTTTGATGCAGCTGACTTCATAAGAGCTGGGAGGGACATCTTTGTACAGAGGAGCCAGGTACATTATACCATTGATATTAGAGACTGCCTTATACTGCAGTACTATAATTACACTGCAGATTATACTGATTAGATTAGATTATATTTATTATATTGAGTATATGAGTATTATTAATCACATACATGTACATGTACATACAATATGCTGTAGGTTACTATAAACTATTATGTTCATGTACATTACATACAGGTTACCAATCACATGGGTATTGAATGGATGAGGCGTCACTTAGGTGATGAGTACAGGGTCCATGAGGTATCGTTCAAGGATCCTAACCCAATGCATATTGACGCTACCTTCAACATCATTGGACCTGGTCTGGTTATTGCTAATCCTGATAGACCTTGCAACCAAATTGACATGTTCAGGAAAGCTGGTAATTAAAATACTTACTGCTAGTCTGATACTACATACTACTACATTTTCTGATACATATTGATGTCCTTGTGCTGTGTAGAAAGTTTGAGATGATTCTGACTTTAATTTTTCAAGTTACGGCCATTTCAAAAAAATGCCAAAATAGCCCATGGTTTTTTCCAAAAAATGGCCCCGAAATCACCCAAAAATTTTATTATATTTCCTGATACATATTGATGTCCTTATGTTGTGTAAAAAGTTTGAGGTGATTCTGACTTCAATTTTCAAGTTACGGCCATTTTAAGACAACGCCAAAATTTTGAAAAATAGCCAAGGCTATAGCCCATGGTTTTTTCCAAAAAATGGCTCCGAAATCACCCAACAATTTTATTACATTTCCTGATACATATTGATGTCCTTATGTTGTGTAGAAAGTTTGAGGTGATTCCGACTTCAATTTTCAAGTTACGGCCATTTTAAGACAACGCCAAAATTTTGAAAAATAGCCAAGGCTATAGCCCATGGTTTTTTCCAAAAAATGGCTCCGGAATCACCCAAAAATTTTATTACATTTCCTGATACATATTGATGTCCTTATGTTGTGTAGAAAGTTTGAGGTGATTCTGACTTCAATTTTTCGAGTTACGGCCATTTTAAGAAAATGTCAAAATTTTGAAAAATAGCCAAGGCTATAAGCCCATGGTTTTTTCCAAAAAATGGCTCCGAAATCATCCCAAATTTTTATTACATTTTCTGATACATATTGATGTCCTTATGCTGTGTAGCAAGTTTGAGTCGATTCCGACTTCAATTTTTCGAGTTACGGCCATTTTAAGACAACGCCAAAATTTTGAAAAATAGCCAAGGCTATAGCCCATGGTTTTTTCCAAAAAATGGCTCCGAAATCATCCCAAATTTTTATTACATTTCCTGATACATATTGATGTCCTTATGTTGTGTAGCAAGTTTGAGTCGGTTCCGACTTCAATTTTTCAAGTTACGGCCATTTTAAGAAAATGCCAAAATTTTGAAAAATAGCCAAGGCTATAGCCCATGGTTTTTTCCAAAAAATGGCCCTGAAATCACCCCAAATTTTTATTACATTTTCTGATACAAATTGATGTATGTACAGTGTACATGTACTCTTTGCTTGTGTTTAGGTTGGAAGATAGTGACAGCTCCTCAGCCAGTAGTGTCTGATTCATGGCCGCTGTGGATGTCATCAAAATGGCTCTCAATGAATGTCCTCATGATTGATGAGAAGAGAGTAGTGGTTGAAACTGATGAGATACCAATACAGAAGATGTTTGAGAAACTGGGCATTAAATGCATCAAGGTAAGAACTATTACCGGTAGTACCATACATCATGTACATGAGTACTGATCAAGAGTACCTGTACATGTACATATACATGCTCCTATTGTTATCAAACTCTTATTATCATACTCTTGCTGTGTGTAGGTGTCAATACGTCATGCTAACTCTCTTGGTGGTGGGTTCCATTGCTGGACCACTGACATTAGAAGAAGAGGGACACTAGAGTCTTACCTCTAACTACCTGAAGACACTAAACTAAAGAACACACACACACACACACTCACAGCTACTAGAGATATTAATAGTACATTATAGTATAGTATAGTGCTGTATTAGTCATAGCTGGACTTTGTGGCTAATTTTATAGAATAGATTTGCAATAATAACTAGATGAATGCTAAGCAAGCAAAAGCATACGTACATTCTTTATAAGTTCATGACTTGCTGGTTCTATTTTGCTTAAGAATCTCTCATGCTTGATTTTGTTCAGGATCAAGTGGAAAATTGACATAAAAATTATTTTAAAAATGGAACCAAACGTTTACAAAGGATGCAGCAATTACTAGTATAGTTTATAGTACGTGTAAATACTTCTTTCTAATGTTATCAGCAACCTTCCTCTGCCCTATTGTATCTAGTGCTGCTACTAATGATATCCAGTTTGATCCACCTCCTCTTGTCTCTCTTACTCCATCCTCTCCCTTTAGCCAGGAAGATATACACTCCATTAGACACTTCTTTGATTTCTTGTAATCTTCTTCAATTGCTTTTAGTGTACGCTCATATAATCCTAAGTAGAGACCCAACTGATACCAATCAGTGTAACTAAACTGCTGATTTGATTCTAATTCTTGAAGGACTGTAGCAAGATCTGTAATATCTGCATGTGTACAGTATATAATAATACCTTAAGCCTACTATTATTTGCGTCTACTAATTTTAGCGAAATCAGCAAAAGTCATGTTTAGCGTTACTAATTTTAGTGTTTTTAACCAAATTAACTATAAATAATAACCATTATAATGAATAATAATTATTTTGGCGTCTATTTAATTTAGCGGTTTAAAGCTCTCTCGCTAATATAGCTAAATTTAGTAGACGCTAAAAACAGTAGGCTTAAGGTAATTATTATTCATACAATACTTACCAAGCAGTTTATCAGTCTGTTTTTCTTGTTCTTCATCAATGGCCTTTTGTACATCAATATCTACAATAATATTAACAATATTATAGCATAATAATAAAATTACCAGAATGTCCTTTTGAAGCAGTTCCATACTCTTCTTTAATGATTCCCACTATCCCCTCATCATTATTAATCTTTCCATCTCCCTATACACAGTAATAATAATGATTATGAGTGTTAGCTGGTATACCTTAATATCACGTCCTCCTAATAGTGACAGGTTACTAATATCTGATAATGATTCATCAGGTAGGATCCTCTTCAATTCTTCACATGTTCCGTTAGCATTTACTAAAAACTCTTCTCTCTTGTCAATAGCAGACATTACATCTTTTACACTATACACTGTCCTTTCTCTTGGTGTATTCACAGGATAGGCTAGTTCTTTAGGATCAATAACTAACTCTTTTACCTCTAGACTGGGACAGGATTCTTTATAAACACTCATTACCTCTCCTATTACATCTTTTCTTAGAGACACCATATTGTATTTCTTAAAGGACATCATTACTAGTACACACTGGCTCTCATCCACAATCTCTACCAGTGATCCTACACCACGACTATTAGACCAATAAAGTCCATTCTTCCAAAACATGCAACGACGATTTAACTTGTCATCTTCTTGAGGTAGAGCCATTTTAAAAGCAAGATGTAATGAGAGGACGTGGAAGTATCGAGGAGGAAAGAAATGATGTTTACTAGTACACTGTAGACACCAACCAAACTGGTACACTTGACTAGTCATCTCATCAGGTCTATCAGTAGACAAAAGACATGGAAAGAACAACAACCTTTCTCCTCTTCTTTCTCTCCCTCCCTCCTCCTCCTCTTCCACTGCTAACTGATGGAGATTTGTCATTCTTAGGAAAGATGGATTCATTTCTTGACAGAGTTCCATGTTCTTCAGAAAACAAATCAACATGTCAGGATCATATTTAGGAAAGAGTCTAGTCAGACCAGACACACTAACAATACCAGTATTGCTAGCAATGTCAACGTGTTCTTTGAATGTCTCTGGAGCAAAGAGAATCCCATCCACCTCAGTTAGTAGTATACCCTTATTCACAACAACCCAAGTCTTGCCTTCACTTTTAAGAACACTGATCAAACCAGTTGAGTGCAACGAATGAAGAACTTCTAAAACCTCTTCTTCATTATCTGGTATAGCATAGCTATTGTTACACTCACCAGCAGACATTACATCAGAGAGGGTCAGTATATTTTCTTTCCTTTCCTCCAGTAGACCATACATCATGTGACAATAAAGACTCAAATTCCTTCCACTTGTACTACGAATGGACTTACAGGCACTAGACAACTTTTTAAAGAAGGAATCCATATCACTCCCACCATGCTTACGACAATCTAAGAAGACACTATCACACTTTTCCCTTACAATAATATCCTGCATTTCTTCCTTTCTCCTACTTTCAACAGGATCACTAATCTCATCTACATGACTGACTGCTACAAGAATATGGCATTGATTAAGAGCTTTCTGTGCTTCATTTCTCACAACTGTTAGCCAATGATGAAGCTGTTTGACTGCTTCCTTCTCCAATATATTGACTACTATCAGGAACACACCACCAGAACCTTGTAACAGATTCTCAATGACAGCACTGTGACTGGAGTAGTATTCTGAATGACCAGCAAAATCATGAAGAATGATGTTACCCAGTGTCCTGTGTTGTAGTTTATAAGGAATGATACCAGCAGTACAGGGCACTACCCCTCCAACATTTCTATAAGAACCAAAAGCAAAAGGGCCAGTAGCTGTATCATTGATGACATGACTAAGAGTACTTTTACCAGCTCCAGGATTACCCACAAGAAGAACGTTAACATAAGAATCAACTGGATGAGATATTTTAATGTTACCAAACTTTTTAAAAACAGATAAAGTTTTAGTTTTTCCTTTAGCCAAGCCTAATGGTGTATAACCACCTCTATCTTTTTTCAATGGATCACATTTACCAGTTGATAATAAAAACTCAACAGCTTCTGATTTGTCACGACGTGCAGCACAGTGAAGAATTGTACTTCCCCATATATCAGACTTAGCCATTGGATCGCAGTTACACTCATTGATTAAATACTTTAGTGCCTCCATTGAATCGTAAAGAACTGCATGATTCAGTAAAGACCCAACTTTTCCATGACGCACCATTGGATCAACGTTGCAATCATTAATGAGACACTTTAAACTATTAATATGTCTAACAGCTTTAGAAAAAATAATTGAGCAGACAGAACCCCTCAATAAGCCACAAGTAGATCTGTGACAGTTGAATAAATATTTCAATACATCAATTGATTCATACTCAACTGCAATAGCATAAGAATTATCAAATCCCCTTTCATCACTAGTTGATGGATCACACTCACACTCCTCAATGAGAAATCTCACCACATCAACATGATTACCCTTTACAGCATAATGAAGAAAAGACCCCTTTATACCTTTCGGCTGGTTAAAGCGAAATTTGTCGTTCTTCTGGTTAAAGTGAAATTTGTCGTTCTTTGCGATTTCCAATGCCTTACCGTTATCTTCTGCCATCAAATACTGCAGCAAGGGAGTAGCTTGTTCGTAACGTTTCTCTTTTAGAGCCCGTCTGAGTTGCTCGACGACATCCTCTACGTTTTTCTCTGCTTCACTTGAGCTTGCAGTTGATTTGTCTGAGCTAGTAGCCATTGTATCTAGGCCAGAATAGGCCACAGTAAATTTAGTAATGTGGCAACTTGCTGGGGAATGGTCTGGCTAGAGCTGAGCCTGTGGCCTATGCGGTGGCCGGCCTCGGCTCGGTTAAAAACTCAACGGGAATCCTCACGTGATAATTGACTATAAAACAGTATCCATCACGTGCGCATCTCTGACCACGCCTATAGATCATACCCAATTATCCATAATATCCAGGTCAGGCTTGTACTCTCTGTCTGTACCCGAGATCCTGAGACTGTACCTCTCTCATCAATGGAGGCTCAGAGTAGACAGAGTCGTATCCCTAAGTTTGGTTTTGGTTTTAAGAAACTATTAAATGGAGACAAGTCCAAAGACACCACTCCTCCATCATCAGGTAGTAACCTCTCTTCTCCCTCAGTGGCCAGGTCTAAATCAATGAGAGTCCCTCGTACCCAGGTACCCGCAATCGTTAAGAGAGACCACAGTAACTCTATTGATAATGGAGATGAGCCTGCTCCATTATTAATGAGTAATAGAGAACAGCTCCCTCCTCCTCCTTCCTTACTGCGTCCAAGATCAAAGACCCTATCGTCACGTTCCCATCCTAACAGTCGCTGTAATTCACCTCACAATGACCCCTCCCCTCCCAGCGGAGGAGGTACTGGTATAACCAGTTCAACAGGTTCTGTAAACGAGACTCCACTGATAGCGTCAGTGGGGGAGGCGGGGCCTCATTATTATAAAGGAAGGCACACTCGTAGCCACTCCTTTGGATCTAAGGAAAAACAATTAATTAATAATCGGCCACCATCCGCTAGCTCCATGAACCGTCGTACCATTAACAAGGGACCGTCTGCCGGTATACTCGCGACCAATGTACAGGGTAAAGGTCGTGTAGTCCCGTCTAGCAGTCGATTGGTCAGTGAGGGCAGTGGTAGGGTGAAGGTTAATAGAACTAACAGTAACACTGATCAACCTGATGGTAATGTGGTGAGTGGTGGGGGGTCTAGGGGGACTGGGGTATCAGATAAGAACACACTGACAACTGGTAGTGGTGGGCGGGGCAAGAGACCATTCTCATTTCATGAAGGATCACCTGATTTGAATCAGTTAGCGAGTGAGATGAGTCTTGAAGACGAGAATACAACAGCAGCTGCTGCTGGTAGGACTCACAGAGAACCTGTTAAGAGACCCACTGCTGGACAAGGTAACTGTTATAACTATTAATAACTTGTTGTTGTTTATTGTTTGTTGTTTATATTTGGAGTGTTGTCTACGTGGTCCAATGTTCCAGGTGGTAATTACATTTGTGTATTCCTAATTCAGTTGCAGCTGTATTGAATTTTAGTCTACTTGGCTTGCTGTTACCATGAGCACACGTGATCCTAACCTACAGCTGCAGTGTTAAATGAATGTGTACATGTACCTGTACCTATACCTCTGATAGTGTACATGTACATTACGTTAACACATGCAGATGTGTATATATGTCTAAACCTACTGATGATTGTGTCACTGATCTTTATTGACCCAACAACACCTCCTAACACACTATTGGATCTACATGTACTTACCATTGCAGTAGCTCCTGTCTTTACTGTACAGTGTATATAATCATTACAGTTTTTGTAACTTGTTATTCTTTATTTATTTCTTGTTTGTTATATATTGATATTATTTTTATCAGTTATCAGTCAGTTAGTGTACTGTGTACTACTCTCCGTGTTAGGAGGAAGGAAGGAAGTTATGGTAGCCATTTAACTGCCTTTAAGTTACATTATTATATTATGTTGTGTAGATTATTATTATTATTATTATTATTATTATTATTATTATTATTATTATTATTATTATTATTATTATTATTGTTATTATTATTATTATTATATTATTTAGGTACAAGGATGGGTTCCTCCAAGTTACGCCCTCCAACTGTTAAACGTAATTCAACTGACGATATTAATAGACCTTCATCAGCTGCTTCTAATTATATGATCAACGAGGTAATGAATAATTAATGAGCTTTATATTAAAGTACTTGAAATACCCCACCAGCTCTCCTCCCCCTTCTCCCTCTCCTCTCTCTCTCTCTCCCCCTTTCTCTGTTCCCAGTAGTCCATTATCTAATATGGTTTCTATTTATATTTTTGGTAATTCATATGATATTACATATCCAATGATCTGTGTTTGTGATATGTTGAGAATTCATTTAATGACACCAGCAGCTGTCTCTCTTTCCCTCTGTGTCTGGTAGTGGGTGTGGCTGTTATTCTGTTGTTGTTTTTGATATTTTTAACTTATTAACACTTTCATGTGCATGTACATACAAAAGTAACATAACTGTATACACTCAATCACTTTATGTGTTCTTATGTAGTAAACTATATAGTGGTTAGTCAATAAACATATATCCAACAGACCACTACATAATATTAATGTATTGTATTGTGTTTATTTTTATTTATTAATAGTCTAGGGGTGTGTCTCGTCCTCGTTCAGCTGCTGATGTTCACAAGGTTCATGTTGGCCCTCCTCCAACTCAAAGACAGTCCTCATCTCAAGGGAGTAGAAGCTCCACCCCCTCCAGTGGGCGGAGCACACCTCTATTTAAAAAGGTCTGTTATTATGACTGTACCATTAACTACTTAGCCATAATTATTATTATTAATTTATTATTATTATTATTATTATTATTATTATTATTATTATTAATAATTATTATTATTATTTATTTTATTTATTATCAGACTGAGGCTGGTATAGCGGAGGAAGATGAGTACATTAATGAGGAAACTAGACCACACCCATCGACACCTAACAGACCACCACAATATCGAACACCATCCTCCGTCAGACTGGGAAGGTATACTAATAATATACTGAGTAGTATACTAATGAATAGTGTTGCATTAATAATGCTAATGTTTTACTAATAATATCCTAATGATATCCTAGGACTCCAGTGATCAGATCCAGCCGGAGAAGTGATTCATCAGATTGCAGTGGAGTACTATCGGTAGGTGAGTCAGGAGTGGGTCTTAACGAACTAGAAGGAGCAGTATTGATTGATGCTGAGGACTATAGACGAATGGTACAAGAAGTGAAGACACTCAAGACAATGTTACTGAGACTAAAGAGAGAACTGGCAGCTGATGTAAGTGCATATCAACTGATACTCTAACTCCTTCTATTCAATTGATGTGCATGTACATGGACTTATGTTGGGTAGGAAGTTTGAACTGGGTTTCAATCAATTTTGGATTTTTTAAAAATTTTAATGTTGCTCCACCATTGGATAAAAGTCCCTGTGCTATAGTACCTGTCTTTACTTTCTTGGCATACATGTATTATGTTTCTATTATTATTTTTATTATTTTTATTATTTTAGGGTGTGGCAACTCCTCCTTCTACTCCTCCTACTTCAATGGTTAGTCTGGTGGGTGGGTGTGGCTTATTACTTTATTCCTTATATAGAAGTCCAGTGTGGTCCGTTTAAAGCAAGGGGGCGGGGCTAATAATGCTGAACTACTTAATAAAATACAAAAGCTGACATCAGTACGTATAACCAAATATTTATTTATTTATTTATTTATTGCTTAAGGAGCGTGACAAAGCCCTGTCCGATATTGAGGATTCTAAAAAGGAGCAGAAACTGCAACAGGCACAACTTGAGACACTTAAATCAAATCTTGAGACTCAACAAAAAGATAACACGAAATTGAACAATAAACTAACGGAACTCGAGACACACAGAGAGTACCTTTTAGACAGGGTATGTGTACATGACCAGCCCCTCTGGAGGTGTGTGTGTATAAGTAATGTAATACCTGAGGACTGAGATATCTGCTTGAGGTGAAGCTGAGGGCAGATATCAAGGGACTCAGGTATTACATTACTGATACTCACCTCCAGACACACACACTGGTCAGTGGTCACTGTAAATAAATGCCAGTGTAATTATAATTAATTAATTAATTATTATTATTATTATCAGTTGGAGAGGCTCCATGCTGATAAGCACAAGGTAGAGGACAGGTTGAACACTCTTGAGAAGTCGGCTTATTATGAGAGAACAGTTCTGGAGGGAATATCTCCAGCTGGTCAGGAGGACACTGTGGATGGACTTATGGTTGATGATGACATTGAAAATGGAGTAAGAAATTTTACTATTTTATTTATTTATTTATTGTGGAAGATTTGGCTAAAATTGAAAATTAAGTGTTAAAAATTGTCCAACAATTTACTGAACTTTTTGTCTCTCTCTCTCTCTCCAGCTGTATTATGATGATGAAGACGCCACTTATTAGAGTACCAGATCTTCCTTGCAGTATTGATTTATTTTCATGTACGATATTGTTATTATTATTGTTATTTTTGTTATTATTATTATTATTATTATTATTATTGTTATTATTATTTCATTCAGCCGTTCGAACAAATTGCAATAATTTTCTTTTATCATTTCATACTTTTGTAGCTTCCGTCTCTTTTTTGTAAATCTTTTTACGCGTGACGTCATTTAGAAATCATTTTCATAAAACCTTTTGTTTTGACAATTTCACTTCGTTTTCCTACATAGTGCAGTAATCCTTCATTACTCTATGATCATTGATATCATTTTATAGTTTTAGTTGTAAGTTGCAACAGCTTCTAGTATAACCACTTATGAGGCTTAGCACAAAAGTTTAGTTATTGAAAAATACACAATGTAGAAAGAAAATAGTCTATAGACATTTTTTACTTCAGCTATAGCAGTAGATAAATACATTATTTGATATTAGGAGAAGGTGCAGCAGGTTTTCAGTCAAACTGAGTATAAGCTGTGTTGATAACCTTTTTCTTCTTTTTGGCTCCAGCAGCACAGCAGCAACAGAATGAAAGACACACACACAAACAGCACAAGATGAAACCAACTAATCCAGCAGCTGCTATTATAACAATGTGAATGAAAGTCCACCAAGAATCTATTAAAACAGCATATCATTAATTAATAATAATTATTATTATCATCACCTTCTATTCCAGTACATGTAGTACGTAAAGATCCTTTCTCAAAACTTGCTTTATTATAAGCTATTATAATGAATGATGGCATTACTGCAGCATATAGTGGATCACTTACTGCACTGGACTGTTAGGTCTTCACCATGACTGCAATCAGTGCTCTCTTTTGAAGGACAGGTCTGACAGTAACCAATACAAGTCTTGTCAGTGTGTCCACAGTACAAGTTATCTAGCCATATTGGTTGAGATCCATTACCACGACTGACATTAGAAAAAAACAAAATTAATAATTGATGATGATTGCTGCAATGAAAGCTATTTCATTGCTACTTACATTGGCAGTTTGTCCCATTTGAATGATTTAGTGTATCCAAGTTGAACACAGACAGTGTCAGCTTCATCATCATCAATGCCATCATCACAGACTGTCCCCCACTCCTTGTTGCAATACACTTCAACTAGTCCTTCAGATGAATAGCTACCTTCTACCAGTCGGACCATCCCATCATATGGATCACCCCAAATATCAGTGGTAGCTATGAAAAGATAATGAAACATATAATAGTGTTTTATGAAAATAAAGAGAAGAGCTCATATCTTACAGCATGTTACATGAATGTCAGTTTTATCACTGCAGCTGTTTGAGTCGGCAGGACTGTAGTGACACTGAGATAACACTTGATACTGATCACTGTCACAATGAACGTCTTTAATAACTGCTGCTGATGTATCAATACCAAACCTATAACAATAAATTAATAATTTTCAAGCAATTTCCTGTTACAATTACAAGCTCTTGTTAACACCTTGTTAACAGCTTGAGGTGTTTACGAGGTGTCAAATTAAAATAATTATGCTTTTGTTGCAGCATCAGCTTACAAAGCTACTCCATAAGTTCCAAAGGAATCAGCTCCATTGTATCCGAGTTGATAACAGACGGTGTCTGCTTCTCTTTGACCAAATGCTGTCTGATTAGAGCAGATATTCCCCCACTGGTCATCAATATATATCTGTATAATACCAGCATTGGTGGCACCAGAGGCTACTCCTGGTCCAGTCTTATTGTTGAAGAGTCTTATGGTCCCGTTACCAACCTGTTCGCCTTTAACACAAGCACACGTTAGCAACAGAATGACACTTCTTCCTATCCTTACCTTGTACAGCAACAGCAGCAGCACAGACTAAAAGAAGAGCAAAGAAAGAAGACTTCATTTTCAAACTGTCTTTGCAGCAAGATGCAGCAGGGCGGGGCTCATTATGACGTCATCAACTGCAACCACTCATGAATATCATTATAAGACAAAAGGAATTGCATGATGTGCTAGCAGCAGTATTGTCTCTTTATTAATATAATGTTTATTAATTACGTTTGTTAATTATGTTTATTAATTAATACATGTAGTTATTGTTTGTTAAGATTTCCATAGC